CTATATATAATAAATATATTTACAATCTAATGATAATTTGTCTGAATTGTACATTGCTGTTATGATATATTCTAATATATGAAAAACAGATAATGTAGCAAAGAAGACACCAAGTTGAGGAATAGTTTCAGAGTAATATGCGATTGCAATAGATCCGCCAGTTGCAACTCCAAATAAATAACTATATAATGCAATGTTTTGTGGTGTATGTTTTCCATCCAAAATTCCATAGTCGTCGACATCATTTTTTTCTAGTAACCGTTTTGGTTTATATTCATTTGATGAATCCCGTTCATCTAATGACATGGTTTCTTGTTTAATAAAAAAAGTATATTTATTTGTGTTTTTTAGAATTTGAAAAAAATTTTTTTGTTAAATTTGAGTATTATATTAGTATTTATAAAAAAAAAAAAATACAATAGTAAATTAAACAATATTAAATTCGTGGATCCATTCATTGACAAAAATGAAAATTCTAAAAATCTACAATATTAACAAACAAACAATGATAATAATAAAAATCTTTAAAAATTAAATATTCTATATATTTCAATTTTATTAATTAATTAATTTAAATAATAGTAAATAGTTATAATAGTTATTAGTATATTTATATATATATATATATATATTTATTCATTTTTCACATTGAATCATCAATTGTACTAAAAATCCCTTTTTTAGAGAATATATCTATATAAATTTTAATTCTTTCATAAGCAGCAAAAGTAACAGCTTGTCCCACTCCCACACGCATTAAACGAGGAAACAGTCCTTTATAAAAAGCTAAATAACCTTCATTCTTGATTAATGAACCTGTAACTGATTTAAATCTTTTCCATCCTGTTTCTGCGCTTTGTGCACGTTGAATACGAGTTTTTATTGTATCAATTGGTGCATTCGCAATTGGACCTAGAAATAATAAAATCGTTTTGGTATTAAGAATAATAGTAATGATATTATTATCGAAAGCAAAAAATTAATTTACCCATTGCACCACTTAATCCACCCATTAATAAATGTTGGTAACTTGGTAATTCTTGTCCTTCTCTTGTTTCTTGTAATCTTTTCATTAATTTTTTCATTTCTTGATACACTGTAAAATTTACTGCTTGATTTGTTGCTTGTCTAAGAGCCGTCAATGTAACTCCACGGTATAAAGTCAAAATACCTTCCTCCTTAACAATCGTGAATGCTGCATGTGCCGCATTACGATATTTCGGAATGTCTAATGGATCAGTCATAGAATGTTGTTGAGCTTGTAACCGAATCTTAATCACATCCATGGGAGTAACAACAAATATTGCTTCTGTGGTACCAGCTAAAAGTCCAGCTATATAGCAAGAAATCAAGAAATTAAATTAATCAAATAAATAAACAAATAAAAATTTTTTTTTAATGAAATCATACATACATAAGAATGTAGCGCCTGTTGAAACCTTTCCTGTTGTTTTATTAGCGAACCATCCTTTATACATTTCAAAACTTGAGAAACGAATAGCCATCTTTGGCACAATCCCAGTAACCACGGCACCTAAACCTTTATATAAACCTAAAGGTGTTTCCCTTCGTATGATATTAATTGCTACTGTAATGAAATTTGGCCTTTGTGCCTATTATTCATATATATATATATGTGTGTGTGTGTGTGTGTGTGTGTGTGTGTGTGTGTGTGTGTTAGATGTGCAATATATAAATAAATGCAATAATATATATGTTTATGTATTTAATAATTGATATTATTATTTACCTTTTTACTTAACTGCATTCTCACTTTAATTGTATCCAACGGATGACAACATAATGCCTCCGTTAAACCAGCTCCACCACCTGCAAGAAAATGGGTTGCAAGACTTTTTTCTCTAGGTTTTGACATCTTTTTATTATTTTATTATAATTTGTTTTTTTTTAATTTTTTTCTTTGAAAAAAAAATATATTGTTGGGACACATAAATATAAAAAACCCCGGAATTTATTTTAGAATATTTTAAATTAACGTCATAAATTCTTGAATTCTTTTCTCTCTATTTTTTAAATCAATTCATTTTTTTGGTTTGAAAAAAAAAAAAGGTTAGTTATAAATAGTAAGATAGATTGTTCATCTATATATAGAATAGGTAATGGTAATGTCAAAATAATAACAAATGCGAGTTGCCAATCGTTTATGCATGATCAGTTTTAGCGCTTGTTATTGGGGACGAACTACTCTGGATTTTGACGAGAATTTAATACTTTTAGTAACAAAAGGAACATGTGCATTCGTTTATTCCCATTGCCTGTTGTTCGAAGATGTGAACATCCTAGCGTTAACTACTGATATGTGAATAGACAGTCTGGTGAATATATCGCCATTTGCTATCACAAAATTTATATACTTACTTACAATTAATGTTTGAAATATATTGGTCATATTATAGAAAATCAACACATTATCTTAAGATCACAGATCATAGAAAAACAAAGATAACTCTAATGAAGGATATTAAACATTGGATGTTTGGCTACTGGAGAGTTATCTTTTAAAAAAAGAAAAGATCATCTCTTACTTGTACATTTGTTTATATACACACGGTAATTACCACTAACACTGCCGATTAGTTCAAGAAAGTAAAAAAAAAGAAAACATATGGAGGATTTTAGCCTAATTATTCCTGCAAACTAGCTTTTACACAACAATGGCTGTATTTACCCTTGACTTGAGCTAGACTTGTGAGAAATAAAAACGGACTATATTATTTATTATTGTTCATAATTCGAAACGATTTTAGTTATTATTTACTTAAAAGACTATATTAATATATATTTGCAGCCGGGAAAATTTACTGCATACAAAAAATATTAACATTATAATTTCTTTTTATTTCAACAGCCAAGCACAACTTTAACCGGCTCTGGATTACGGATAGAAAAATATAATATTTGAATAGACGTGGATTTTTTTTACTTTAAACCGATGATAATAATTATAATAATAATAATAACGGTCGCATAACAATTCTTACTGACTGTACACCCAATCTTCGTACATTCATTTGGAAATTAATTTGTACAAAACTTGCAGGAGTTAGGGGATTCTGTTTCTCGTCGGATAGGCATCTCCAATGAGATCCAACGGATTCCTAAACTCACAACCCTTGCATAAGACCAAAACCATCCTCCAAGACAGTCTGATCTTCTTGGGACATCATGAGTTCACGTTACACCAACTTCTTCACGACTCAAGGTTTTGTTCAGAAGGAAACCCTACCGATCGTCTGTTTGTCCGAAGGCCTATAAACACGAACTAATTTGATTATCGGGATGCTGATTACTCTATAGTCAACACTAAAAACCAATTAAATATTTATGAACGATATAAACTATGACAATAAAAAACAAATTTAAAAAAAAAATTTTCTAATAATTACTTGATTTTCCCTCCTCACTTAAATTGTTCTTTCGCTAAACGAAGTGGAGAAACCGCACACAAATCATTTGAAACTGAGGTTACATCCGGAAAACAGTAACAAATATTATACGTAATTGTATATATTGGGGAATTCTCTAGACTAGCAAAAACAGTTCCGGGGTTCTCTATCCAAAATTCAAGTTTTTTTTACATAATATATTACTATAAGATCCTGTTTACTTAGCACAGTTGTTGTATAAAATCTTGGTTAGTGCATATCTTGTGCGTGACAAAAATATAATCTCAAAATTTGTGCTATATAGACAGTTACACGGCGAAAAAAGATTTTTGTGTACAAACCAAATGAAAGATTGATGTAAATATTTGCGGTTAGATGAGTCATTCTAACAAAATCATCCAAAACTTTAATAGTGTAATAACGAGAATTTCGTAAAGTTCTTGGAATACCAGTCTATAATCCATAATATTTTGGTACACCTCGACCTGGGAGCTCAAACTTGTCCATAAAAAACCACCTAGCACTTTAACAAGGTTTGAAAAAAACATAAAAGACAATCCTAAATCATTGCGTAACCTTGGTTTTTCTTCTCGCATTCCAGCACAAAGACCTTTATACAAAAAGGAGAGTCTACTTAACTGGTGCTTAGTTTTAGTAGAAGGAATCACGGATAAATGGAAAAAATATAAGGGCAGAAATTATCATTTTCAAGATGACAATGCCGTTATGCATACCGTACGAGATGTAGTTGCTTAGATTCAAGAAAATAAAGTTATAACACTAGTTAGTTGGCTTTCACAGCTTGAACATCTATGAGCGGAACTCACCAAAAAATTTGAGAATAAAATTGATAAATAATATAATATTTAATATCGAGTATGCATTAATAGTAATGGTGGCTCTACAAAATATTAAAATAAAATTTTTTTGGGAGTGGTCCATGACTTTTGGGAGGTGAGCGAGTATATATGTCAACTTCCTCTCTTACAATTTATTTATTTACTTGTTATTACCATAATTATTAGATCATTGTTAAAATCAATAAAGAAAATCAAAAAAAAAATTTTTTCAAATTAATATATACGGTTATGGTTATTTTTTTTGCAGTAAAAAAAAGAAACAGAAAAGTTAAAAGAGAAGGTAAAGGGAAATTGTATACATATAGATAGGGAACTTGGAAATGGATTAAAAATATAATTTGACCTGCAATATTAATTATATATATTAAAAGAATTGGTTAATTGATTAGAATTTTGTTTTATTTAGTAGGGTGAAAATGAGAATTGAAGAATCCTACATGAAAATGAAATATTAAGATAAATATATTTATATATGATTATAGTTATGTTAAGAATTTAAAGAATCAGATTTTGACGCAGCATGGATGATATTGTTTATATTTCCACCTAATTAAAAAAGTCATTAGATATTATGGTTGTTATTATTACAATCTTTGCTATAAATATAATATTCATAGTAAATATAGCTAAAACTTACGTTCATCATGATGTGTTTCAAAATCCCGGCTGAATTTCCTATTTAATCAAACAAATTAGCAAAAAAACAAATTATCTTTCAAATAAATATTTATTCTTACCATTCACCGTCCACAATAAATTTAAATTCGTGTTGTTTAGTACTATCGATATCAATAATAGCAACAAAATTATTTGTTTTTGGCATCCTTGTCATTTCATGTTTAGATGCTATAAAACAATAAACAATAATGTTAATATCATATATTAACGTGATTACGATCTTTGGATCGTCAAAGAATCAGCTCGATAATCCAAATCACATGCACATTTTTTCGTACCTGACCAATTGTTAAAGTCGCCAGTAACAAAGACTTTGTTACCGCCATCTTTCCAATGGAACTGTAAATAAATAAATGAGGATTATAATTACACCACATTGTATAATTTTAAAGTAGTATGTCTCACATTTTTTCAAATATTTACCGTGAATGGTACAATGTTAGAGTTCTTGCTTCTATTAATACGAGAAGTTTTCATTTCAGAATTTGGTACAATATTGTGAATTGATCTTCCTTCATTGACCGATTGATATTCTTTTCTCCCATTTTCATCTGATTTCAATTCGGTAAGAGTTCCAGCAATTACTTCACTTTTATTATTATTACTATTGTCATTATCATTGCTATCAACGGTATTTTTTTCAGAAAAATTTTCTACAATGGGATTATTATTTTTAATTCTTAGTTTTATCGTTGTTAGAAACATTTTTAATGGTAATTTTACCTTTTTTTACGTGAACTTGTTCGCCTTTAATCAAACATAAAAGATGTAACAAGATGGTCAATACTAGATTTAAGAATACCCTAAGAATTTTATCTGAACAATAACTTAATATTTTTGAAAGTGCCATTTGAAGTAAAAAAAATTTTGAGAACGCGTGTACATACAATAACGAAAAAAATTAATTTTGGAAAAAGAAAAGAAAGAGCGTGTTTAAGATAACGGAAATATGTTTTCCTAATGTACGTTAATATTTATATATATGCGTTTATTTATTTGTTAAAAAAACAAAAAATTTTACATTCGAGAAAAACAATTTATAATTTTCTAAAAGTTGGGGAAAAAAATATATATGGTATATTTTTTTTTTATTTTATTTATTATAAATACCGATATTTTGTACAATGTGAAAAATTACATTTGTCATAATTATCATATTTTAATACTAGATTCTTACTGTTATCTCTATATCTTTTAAGATAAAAATATAAATATTATATAAACGAAATAAACAACAAATTGCAAATTTTTCCTTATAAAGAATATCACACAAAAAATATCCGAATTTTATTAGGTAATATAATTGGTCGAAACTGAATATCTTCGCCAAAAGGAAACAAATACACGTGGCCGTGGAGATTTTGTGTGTGACATTCCTTCCAAATCTCTACTATTAAATTTACCCATACCTTAGCCGGTTACATCAATACTTTACTTAGTCTACATGCCTAATAGAAGTTTCAGCATATTTAGAAATAAATTTGGCGATTACGAATATTTTTGTGGATAACTAAATAAATACTAAGGACATGGTAACCTAATTTCTTTTTATTATTCCAAAGAACACTTATTTTGTTTCACGTAATAATGTTTCGATGTGATATTATTCACTCTAAGTTGTCCATCGTTGTATAACATTTTTACACTATTACAAGATAGTCTTTTTGTTAACGCTGATTATTTGTGATTATTTAACAACTACGGCAGATTATGACTTAGCTTTGGGCTACTCTTGTCAGTTTTCGAATTTACCTATAAAGTTTTGGCGAATCAGTAGCGCACTCAATGGCACGGTAATAGACAAAGATGACTCTTTTACAAAAACCAAAAGCCTCTATAAAGTTCCCTTGACCAATTCATTTCAGAAAACAACTTGAGCAGCTCGTTTAACAGCCTTATATTTACAATAACGATTCTATTAGAATAATACTACCAGTAACCTTTGGAAAATGCTTCACTAAAGCAAATAACATTTACTAGCCGTTGTTAAATTAACACTCAAGAGTTACCCAACGTTAGTCCTAACTTTTACTTACTAAATCAAATAAAACGTGGCCTTTTACCAAAGCTCCACAATGGTTACTTTTTTACAAAGCACTTCGCTTTAAACGAAAAATAAATAGCATTTTTATGATTTTTAAGGATTTAAATGCTAATGTGGTATCTGTTCTACTCTAGCGAGGACCCAAGTGAAGTTGTCTATATAATGTTTAAATTCTCAAAATGATTTTTATACGAAGCTGATTTAATTCCTTCCTATAGAGTTGTTTCATTTGGGTATTTGTTTCTCTCTTCCACCTGTTTTTTTTTGAATTCAAACTTACAATTACTTTTCACCAATTTGTATCATGGTTTTTTCAAGTCTATCGAGTTCAGTCATATCATTTTTTGTACTTCTTCACAGTTCTTCTGGATCAAAATATAACTTTTTTAAAGATTTGTTGTTACATCCTTTTGAATAGGTTTAATGAACTCATTATTCAATATTATATCTATCATAAACCCTTGAGCTATTACCACACACAAGTTTGATGGTATTCCCATTCAAAAATTGATTATTATATTTTTACCTATAAAATTTCTACTCTGTCATAAATTTGAAAATGACCATACTTTTTAAATATCTATACTTCAAAGAACAAAAGTGGGCTTATGCATTGGTTTTTTGACTTAATAAAAATATGATTTTTTGGTTATATATAATGTTCATCCGGATATTGTCCATTGCCTGGGTTTAAAGCAATCACTCAACTTTTACCAAGTACACAGGTCGTATTTACTTGATGACTTAAAGGCGTGTTTGTGCAACAGCAGTCGTGATTGTATTTTTAAATACACACACGTAAAGCCCATTTTGATGTGAGGAACGCTAGTTTACTTATAAACAAGTCATTCAAAGGTTGAAGTTAAAAATAGCACTGTTTAAACATTGGTACTAATTGGTGTTAATTGTAAAAATGAATTATTTGCTAAAGATGTTGTATGCAAGATTTTGTCTACTTGATGACAAAATGAAAAATGTTTATTTCCTGGCCTAGGCAGTTGAATCAATAGGTAGAAGATAACAATAGTAATAGCAGAAGTAATTGACGTTTTTAGTCATAGTAGTAGTAATATAGATTATAAATATATAATTATTATTAATTTATATTATCTTGTTAAAGGAAATAAAATCTTATTTATAATTTTAATTTACAAATGGTTAAAATCACTTAACAATAATATAGAATTAATATTTTATATTTTATAAATAAAACGAGTGATTTCGAATAAAACGAATTAATTAATATTAATATGATTTGAGTTGTATTACGAATAATTCGAATAGAGAATTTGTATTACGAATAGAAACTCCAATTACACAAAAAATGTTTTAAAGTTTCATTCATCCGCATCCTTTTTTTTTTTTTTTCTTGTCAAAAAAAAAAACCAAAAATGAAAGTATTAATTTGTGGTGGAGCAGGATATATTGGATCGCATATAGTTAGAGAATTTACATCATATCCAAGTTATGAAATTATTATTCTTGATAACTTTTCCAAAGGTCATTTAGAATCCATACCAGAAAGCATAAAATACGAGAAAGGAGATATATGTGACAAAGAGTCTTTAGATAAAATTTTTGAAAAGCATCGACCAAATGCAGTGATGCATTTTTGCGCATCAATAGAAGTTGGAGAGAGTGTAGAAAATCCTTTAAAATATTATGAAAACAATGTTGTGGGTACTATTTATTTACTACAAACAATGAAGAAGTATGATGTGAAATATTTTATTTTTTCCTCAACTGCAGCAATATTTGGTAATCCTGAATTCACACCTATACCTGATGATGCTAAAACCTTACCAATCAATCCTTACGGTGATACAAAACTTACAGTTGAAAAGATTCTTGATTGGAGTGAAAAAGCTGATGGAATTAAATATGTTTGTCTTAGATACTTTAATGCTTGTGGAGCACATGAAAGTGGCGAGATAGGCGAAGATCATGACCCAGAATCTCATTTAATCCCACTTATACTTCAAGTTGCACTTGGACGTAGAGAACAAATAAAGATATTTGGAAATGATTATGATACCAGGGATGGAACTTGTATAAGAGATTATATTCATGTTACAGATTTGGCCACAGCTCATATTAAAGCATTGGAATACCTTGTAAAAGAAAATCAATCACAAAAATTCAATTTAGGTTCGGGTGAAGGCTATAGCGTCAAGGAAGTTATCGAAGCTGCTAGAAAGGTCACCAATCATCCAATTCCTGCCAAAGTGGAATCCCGTAGACCTGGCGATCCTGCCATTTTGATTGCAGGTTCAGAGCGAGCTGAGAAGATTCTTGGATGGAAAAGAAAATATACTACTATAGAAAAAATCGTTGAAACCGCTTGGAAATTTCATCAAAATCATCCTCATGGTTATTCTTCTACTGCTAAAAAATAATATAAATTTTTTTTGTTAGAATAAAAAAAAAATTTTATTATCTAATGTTCTTTTAATATATATATATATATATTATTTATTTAATAACAACAATAGCAACAACGATAATAATATAAATAATTTAAATTTTTTTTTATATCAATTTTTATAGTAATAGATATAAGTTCTGGTTTCATGTATATATATATATATATATAAATATAGAAAAAGTTCACATTATATGACAATCAATAAAAAATTTTTATTTAATAAAAAAAATGTCAACAAAAGATTTAGAGAAGCTTCTTCTATTACAATGTGTTGGAACATTTACTGCCCTTTACATAATGTAATTCAACTAGTGAATATTTAGACAAGATACATTAATATTGTCTTGGAATCCTGGGACAGGACTAAATATAAAACCTATCCAGGACATGGAAAAGAAGTTTAGTGTATGTGTATATCAAAAATATTAATACATGATTTAATTACATTATAGAACTAGTGATTTGTATCATGTGATTATATTTTATTGGGATGTTTCAACTGGTAGAACTATTTCATGTTTCGAAGGAAGTATATTCAAAAGAATACGTATATTCACTTTATTAGATTAAGAATTTAATGAATCGATTCAGTTGATTTCAATTTTGATGGAAATGTAATAACTATTGACGAGTAATGTTACATAGTTAATATTCAATAATAATAATTTATTTCTCTCAAAATTTTTTTGTAGGATCACTCGATGCAACAATACAATTACGGGATTGTAAATAATATAAGAATAATAGTATTCATTAATATGTATATATACATTTGCTTTTTTTGTAGAGCAAAATCACGATCACCAATTCAAATAAAAGATTGGATGATACACAGATACATACACTAACAACTTTAAGAAGACCAAAAGACATTAATCAATTTGTCTTGGAGCTTATGACCATGTCAAATTGACAATTCAAGTATCACGTTTTGAAAAATATGTTCGTAACTATTTAGATGTCAATGTTCCAAGATTAATGATCATTATAAATCCTATTAAAGTAATGATTGAAAATCTATCTGATGATTACGTTGAGGAGTTTATTGTTCCTTTCAAACCAAGAGACACATCTATGAGAGAGGGAACTATTTTAAAAAACATGCAAATAGAAATATAGAATATTTGATATGTCGGTATGAGAATGAAGCTTCAGTTACAGTTAAAAAACCTAAAACATATCTCCACTGGGTAACAGAAACACTTACCACCACCACCACCACCAATAAAAACCATCAATCTCTAAATAAGCTTTGGCCCTTTCAACAATTCATTGCATCAAAAAAATTCATGCTGTAGAAGACAATTTGAGACTTGCGAAATTTGGAAAGGATGGTTTTGACCATACACGTTAACATTATTTCTGCAAGGAGAATGATTCTGATTATAAGGTTGTTTCATTGCTATCCCAAATATGCATCATTTTAATGCACATAGATAGTAAGTATTGATCTTAATATTAAGCATTAACATTAACCTCGTTTTTATAGAAAACACATTCTCATTTTTATAGAATCAACAACTTTGTTGGATTTCTGTATGGAATTAATCTCTACTAATTCAGAATCATAAACTACTCAGTAACATCAATAGTATCATAGCTACCAGTAATAATCTATATAAGACTGCCTAAAATTTACTCTATCCCTACTGTTATCACATCATAATAATCTTTACTTTGTGGTGAAAAATTTCTTTATTAGATTAATAATGATTGATGCATATTTCTATGATATGATATGATAACCATTCACAATTTATCAAACTTTTAATTTCCAATATTTTTAATGTGTTATAAACGCTTGCACATGTTTTATTTAATTTTTAATAAAGATAAATACGATTAATTAGATTTAAAAAAATTCCACTCTAAAATATTGAATTTTTGTTTTATGGTTCTAATTAAGGTGCAAACATATGAACACTCGACAATGCTACAAGATCACTAAAGTAAAAAGATTAAATTCTAATATTAATATTAATATTAAAATTAAAAATGGTGACTGAACCCCTATAATTATTTGTATTACTTAATATATTGGCTATTATTACTGTTCATCAAAACTCTGAATAATATTTTTTTGAAAAAAAATGGCAGATTCCAAAGATAATGAATTGACGTTTTATAATAACTTGAAAGGATTAGATGCTGTGAGCCGTTTTTTCATTAATTGGTTGATTTATTATTTATTACCAATGTTTTATCATCATCATATACTCTCATACTCATGCTTATCCTCTTATTCACAGTATGCACGTCATAAAAAGTTTATGAAAGATTATGTTTACTTTTATGGAAAGGTTAAGCCAGAACCAACATCAACATCATCATCAACAAATATTTTTAAAACAGAGTTTGATATTTTAAAAGAAAATCACAAGTATGTATCTTTTATTATTTTAAATAATTTAATTTCTTAAATTAAAAAAAAATTTTCAAAAATATATATATTTTTAGTATGTATATTATTATGTATATAGAAAGAAAAATTTAAAAAATTATTATTATTATTATAATTTTTCATGATGATGATTGATTGTTTACAATTACAATAATGATGGCGATGATATAACAACTACAATATGGTATTGGGTGAAAGATTTATTCGTGATGATGAAGAGGAGAATGAAGAAAAATTATCATGGGAACAAAGGATCGCAAAAAAATATTATGATAAATTATTTAAAGAATATTGTATAGTTGAATTAAAGTATTATAAAGAGGGAAAGGTAATTAATTTTTTAATTGGCTTTACTGAAAAAAAAAAAAAAAAAGGCATTTTTAATAGAAAAAAATTTAATATTATTGTTGTTATTATTATTATTATTATTATCATTGTCATTATTGATTGATCGTTGATTTGGTTATACATAACTTTTTGATGGGATAATTGAAAAGATTGCTTTAAGATGGAGAATTGAAAAAGAAGTCATATCAGGAAAAGGTACTTTATCATCATAATAACAATAATAAAAAAAGAATTCTCCAACACATTATTTATTTCTCTTTATATATATAAAAAAAAGATTTAATTTGATCTATATAATCTTTTTTTAGGACAATTTATTTGCGCATCAACAAAATGTTCGGATACAAATGATTTGAAATCATGGGAAGTGAATTTTGCCTATATGGAGGATGGTGAAAAGAAAAATGCCTTAGTGAAAATTAGATTATGTCCAAAATGTTCTGATAAATTAAATTATAGAAAAAAACATGAAGAAGCTAAAGTTGCTAATAATAATAATAATAATAAGGTTATTAAAGAAGAATTAATAGATGAAGATTTTGATGAAGTTGGCGATAAAGATGATAAGAAAAAAGAAAAAAGAAAAAGATCATCAACAGCAGCAGAAAATTCTTCTTCAAGTAAAAAAACTAAACATTCTAAAAAACATAAGAAACATAAAGGAGCAACAATTAGCAATAATGAAGCAACAATTAGTAATAATGAAGCAACAATTAGCAATAACGAAACAACAATTAGCAATAATGAGGCAACAATTAGTAATAATGAAGGAGGAGGAGAAAAAAATGACGATAATAATGAAACTAGAAGTGAACAAACTTCTTCTTTGGAAAGTGGCAAAGATGATGCGATAGGTGATTATTTAAAAATTCAAATTTTATTATATATTATTATTACATTCTTCAAGTTATTGATAACTTTTATATATATATATATAATGAAGTTAAACAAGAATCAAGAAAAGAAGATTTTGAAGATTTTTATACAAGAATATTTGCAGGATTATTTGAATGAATATAAATAAATTTATTATCTATTTGCTTGAAATTTTATTTTAAATAAAAAATAACTTTATTATTAATAATAGTTACATTATTCTAGTCTGATAATAATAAAATATTAAAAGTTTGTTCTTTATCTTTGATAAAGGCTTTGTATTGTTATTAATCAACAAGGTTATCATCGTTGATATGAGATTAGAATGAATCTCTATTTCCATATTGGTGGTTTTGTGGGTTTTTTTTTTGGATTAGTTGATTTTTGACAATTTTGTGTATTTTTTTTTAGCGGCAGGGGTGGTGGTGGTGGTCGCCGTTTAGGCGATAATGAACTAGGCTTTACAATTTTAGGTTGTTGTTCTTGCTGTTTATGAGATGCCGGAGATGGTGTTGATATTAGTGGAGTAGCTGATTCTTGTGATGATGATGGTGATGATGATGGTGATGATGATGGTGATGATGATGATGATGGTGATGATGATGGTGATGATGATGATGATGGTGATAATGTTAGTGGCGGCGGCAGCGGCAGCGGCACTGACGGCATTGACATTGGCATCGGCATCGGCATCGGCATCGGCAGCGACGGCGACGGTGGTTGTGAATTTAAAGAGGATGACGAACCATTGTTCTGTTGATAATTATAATAATTATAAAATTGTGGTTGTTGGTGCTGCATTGGATGGAGTTGTGTGAGGGGTTGGATTATTGGTGATGGTGGAGTACTTGTATTAATTGTAGGAGATATTATAGGAGATGTCCCGGGAAAATTATTTTGTTGATAATTATAATATGGTTGTTGTTGTGAAGGTGGATAAGATGGCGAAGATGGTGAGGGTGGATAAGATGGAGAAGATGGTAAAGTTAATGACGGTGATGATGCCGAGAAAGTAGAATATGGTGAAAGTAAATTGTTCTTTTTTGGGATTATAGGTTCCGGCATAGGCATTATGTTAAAATTATTTTGCTGTTGATATTGTTGATATTGTGGTGTTGTTGGTGTTGTTGGTGTTATTGGTGTTGTTGGCGTTGTTGGCGTTGTTGGCAGTGAATTTGTCGATGATTTGTTTAATAATGTATGAGTAGTATTGTAGCTTTCATAATAATAATTATTATAATTATAGTTGTAATTTGATTGTTGTGGTTGTATTGCTCCTGTTACTGCTGGAGTTGCTTGTGGTATCGTTAGTGTTGGTGATTGATATGTGTGAGTATTATGATTATGATCGTTTTTAGTTCCTCCGCAAGTTTGTTCATTTAGACTACCTGACCCACCGCTAATATTGTTGTTTCTAGATTGTTTTAAGAATTGTCTTTGTCTTTTATGCTTTGTATGCTTTAAACAACATATTCTAGCAAATAGACCAATAATGACTAAACCTATTAAAACACCAAATACACCTGCCATTGCGAATGCGGGTGATTTATTTTGGGTTGTATTTGTTGTTTCTGTTGTTGAATTCGTTGTTGTTACATCGCGCGGTAACAACAATGCAGGTAATGGTAGTGACGATGATTCCAATAAATATAGTAATAATAATGGTATTCGAAGAATTAAAATTTTATGATACATTTTTTTTTCTTGGGAAAAAAAAAAAAAGGATTTTATTTCTATTTATTATAACTGCCAGGAAAAAAATAATGATTCATTTTTTGAATATATATGGCAATAAAAATCTGACAAAGCGAACATTTATTATTATGTGACGTAAATAGTTAACATATTAATATCGTAATTGTACAGATTTAATAATATCGTAATAGTAATAGTTAAAAATTTAAGAAATACGTCACAAATTTTCAGGGTTCAAAATTTAGCAAATTAGCAGGCATTATAACTCCGAATAATAATATAATAGCCACCCCGTTTTTCAAAAAATGACCGTAATAGGCATCGAATATTGTAATGTGTTAGTACTATAAAGTAGAATTTTTATTTTTAAGAATATCGAAAAAGAGAGCGTTTACACTAGTAACTTGTTTTTAAAAAATCATTGAATTAAATTTAACTAGTTTCTATTTGAATGAGCTAGAAAATTCCATATTTAATTTTTTAAAAATTATCAGGTGAGTGATTTTTAATCATAATGTATTATGTTGATCATGAATATTCGAATTGAACATTCGATACTAGTACTACTACTACTACTACTACTACATAATAATGATAATAATAATAATAAATTAGGAATTATGAATAACATTTCAATCATCGTGGCTCGGACATGTGGCCTAACGATTTTATTTTATTTATATTGTTTATTTAATTTTAATTTTAAAAGATTAACGTCACTTTTTTGAAACAATCAATCAATCGTTTAAATTAAAAATTTTATATTAACATTTCGGGATAGTAGAATTTCTATTCGCAATATAAATTATTATTATTCTTTTTTTTTTTTGTTTTATTCGAATTACTCGTTTTATTCATTATTCACTGTTTTATTCGTTTATTCATTTTATTCGCTTTACTCATTTATTCGTTTATTCAAATAAAAATTATTATTGTTTAAACCTTGTGCATGACTTTTGTTCATTGTTGTATGTATGTAGTACCGAATATTCATCGAATATAGTTCATCATTATTGATATATTTCTAATAGTAAAATCGAACAAAAACAAAAACAGTTTGTTATTTTTCGTGTAAAGCGAGTGCTTTGGTAAAAGGCAACAGTGTTAGTGTTTAATTTTGGGTAACTAGTGAGTATTAACAACGATATTCGAGTTAATTGTTATCGTAGACGTAAGGCTGAAATATTCACGTAATAAAAGGTGCTGTTTCAAACGTAGATCTTCGAAACATCTATATCAATATTGTACTCGTAATATATAGAGAGACTCACTACATCAACAACAAACGGCATTTGTAGGCGGATGCTGATTATTGCAAATAATAATATTTTTTTTTTATAAATTTATTTTAATAATTATCATTCATTATTGATATATTAAATACTGTATGCTAAATGTGCTAATACTAAATTTATTAATAATAAAATTTTAAAATAAGTTTTAAAGCAAGTTTATCTTAAGAAAAGTGCTCGTTATACATTTAAAAAAATTTTCGATTATTACAATTATTATTATAATAAAGAACCTATTTATCATATAAAATAAATTGTTTTATCTATTCATTATTAAGATATTGATGTAATTCGTATTTGTGATTTAGAAATAAGTATAATTAGTATTATTGTTATTACGGAAATTTGTATTTCTGCAGTATCTAGTGTTATGTTCCTTTGATCTACAATGTTTACACCAATTATTTAATCTAGGTCTTAGTGTGCATTCACGAGTAAGGTGACCTACTTGTTTACAATTGCTACAAAAATTTATTTGTCTATTCTCTCCTTTTACATCTTGGCTATAATTATTATTATAATTTCTTTTGGTGCTGCTAGAACTACCTCTTCTATTGTCGTTATCTTGACTATAGTTGTTATTGTATCTTCTCCTGTTAAAGCTATTTCTTCTATCGTGATTATCTTGACGATAATTATTATTGTTGTTTCTTTTGGTGCCATCAAATCTATTACTTTTATTTTTTGCACCCCAATGACCTTTGACATTCTTAATACTTGGATCATTATCACTTGCATTCTTAAGCTCGGCTTCGAATTTAGCAGCAATCTTCAACCAATCATCTTTATCATTTTGTTCATTTGAGCCCCAACCATCATCGTCTAGATTTGTTGAATGTTCGATAAGAATAGGAATGCTGACGGAATTGGTACCACCATTATCTAAATTATCAAAAGTTGTCTTTTTAAATTCGGGTTCAGATTCTTCAGTAATTTTCCACCAATCATTTTCACCACTTTGATCTAGATTTGTTGAATGTTCGATAAGAATAGGAGTGCTGACGAGATTGGTAACATCATTATCTAAATTATTATAAGTTGTCTTTTTAAATTCGGGTTCAGATTCTGCGGCAGTTTCCGACCAATCATTTTCACCGCTTTGATCTAGATTTGTTGAATGTTCGATAGAAATAGTAGTAGTACCATCGTTATCTAAATCATTATCTAAGTTATAATCCAATCTTTCTAATTCAGCCTCAAATTCAATTTTTCTTTTCAACCAATCCTCATCGTCGTTATCTAAATTACGACCTGCTCTAACCTCTAATTCAATTGCCTTTCTCGACCAAATTTCGTCACCATCGTTGGATTGATCAGGGGAATTGTTATTTTCGGATTGATCGTTATTAGTTCCATCACTATCGCCATCAACTGATTGATCAAATAGTACCCGATTAATTACTATTGTTTCAATTTTGATATTTTCAACTTTGCAAAGTTCAGAATATGTGGATTGATCGTTATCAGTACCAATATTATCATCATTAACTGATCGACAGAATAGTATCTGGTGATGACATTTTTTAATTATTGTTGTTTCAATTTTAATATTTTCAATATTGCAAAGTTCATTATTATTAGAGTAAATATTTGCCATATCAATGTTGCCACGAGTATCTTGGAATGTTGTTGCGCTCGTAACGTTGTCTTCAATAATAGATTCATTGATATCATCAGTGTCTGGTACTGATTCCAATTCAAAGTCGAAGTTGTTGTTGAGATGTGGTTGGAAGTTTGGTCGTGTAACGTCGTCTGTGATGTTTAAATTAGATTTATTGATATCATCAGTGTCTGGTACTGATTCCAATTCAAAGTCGAAGTTGTTGAGATGTGGTTGGAAGTTTGGTCGTGTAACGTCGTCTGTGATGTTTAAATTAGATTTATTGATATCATTAGTGTCTGGTACTGATTCCGATTCAAAGTCGAAGTTGTTGAGATGTGGTTGGAAGTTTTGTCCTATAACATCATCTGTGATGTTTAAATCTATCGTCATGCTTGAAACATCATTGCCAGACACAATAATACTGTCGAGTTCCTTTTTTAGATTGTTAATATCAACTGATTCGACGTGTGAGCCAACATCATTATTTGTTGTTTCAATATCCACAGTTGGAAGCAACATGATGTAAATGGAAATTGGCAATAAAAACATTGGCGATATCGCCATTATATATTGAATTAAAATAATTGTTTTAAATATAAATATTGCCAATTTTATCAGAAAGGCAATCTCGCATAGAAAGATTGTTTTTTCGATAATTGACATAATTATTTGTATGTGATAATAATAAAAATAATAATTTTTGTTTGTTTTGAGAGAGAAGTTTTTTTTATAAAAAAAGTTTTTGGCGAGAATTTTTTTTTTATAGAAAAATTTTTTATTAGAGGTTTTCGTGAGGGTTTTTATAAGAAAAGTCTTGAGAAGTTTTTTTGTGAGAAAAAAAATTTTTTTTACACAATTACTCGTGCAAAATCATGAGAATAAAAAAACAAAATATGTAAAATCTTGTGATGTAGTGATGTAACTTTATGTGATTGATGATAGATACTTTGAAGTTGTCGTAATTTTTTTGTTAATTTACCAAAAATACTAAGGTTATATCGATCAATTATCAAGTTTGATCTGGCAATTTGTATTAATATATTAGGTATATATTGGGTTAGAACAAAGCAAAAACCATGAGAACAAAGTACAAACATGTAAAATCTTATGATGTAGTGACGTAACTTTATGTGATTGATGATAGATACTTTGAAGTTATCGTAATTTTTTTGTTAATTTACCACAAATACTAAGGTTATATCGATCAATTACCAAGTTTGATCTGGCAATTGGTATTAATATATTAGGTATATATTGGGTTAGAACAAAGCAAAAACCATGAGAACAAAGTACAAACATGTAAAATCTT